CTTTTCCCACTGGGTATCCCGTCCCACCCACCTTTGAGGGAGACACCGGCATGCAGGAGGGCACGGGAGTGAGAGGAGGACACCAGGAGGCAGGGAGGACACCAGGAGGCAGGGAGGACACTGGAGGCAGGGAGGACACGAGGAGGCAGGGAGGACATGTGGAGGCAGGGAGGACATGTGGAGGCAGGGAGGACACCAGGAGGCAGGGAGGACAGGTGGAGGCAGGGAGGACACTGGAGGCAGGGAGGACAGGTGGAGGCAGGGAGGACACGAGGAGGCAGGGAGGACACTGGAGGCAGGGAGGACACTGGAGGCAGGGAGGACAGGTGGAGGCAGGGAGGACACGTGGAATATCCCCAAAAGGGCAGGAGTGGTTCACGGGAAGTGAGGATCCCAGGGAGATTCAAGAGGGCAGGGCTTCTCTTTCCCCTGGGACCTCACCTAGGGTTGGGGGCTCCCTAGGAGGCAGTCACTGCTGGGGCCCACAGCCTCCCCCAGACTCCTGGGAGCACACTCACCAGTCTCTGGAGCACTGGAGTGGACTCTCTCTCCCCAGGAAGCAACGCAGGTGACAGATGGCTAGACTTAAGCTGGCTCAAGCCGGTAAGTAAGGATGGGGGCCAGAGGGGCGGGTGCTCTCCTCCGCAGCCGCCCAAGACCCGCCCCCAGGTCCTGCCCCGAGTGGGCGGGGCCCAGGTCCCAGCTGCTCCTCCCTGCGGGGTGGCTCTGAGAGGAGGACCCTCCTGTCCTCCAAAGGCGCTCACCTTCCACCTTCTGGGGAGACCAGCTGCAAGAAACACATCCATGGAAGGTGGAAGGGTCATGAGGTCTCCGAACACCCCAAGTCCCTTTCCCTTCGGCAGAGTGTGACTTGATGAGGTCGTGGGTGTGAGTGTGGACATCTCTCTAAAGAGGGCTGACACTGGGAAGGGCAGGGAGGGCTCCTGGAGTCATCTGAGCCTATTTGTTTAAGTTCTGGGGAAATTAAAACTTAAAGAATTGCCTAATTAGAACTACAGAGATTATGATATATTACGTTTAATGGAATAGTTTTTTGTTTTATATATTTTACTAGAGGCCTGGTGCACAAAATTCGTGCACTCGGGGGAGGGGGGGCCCTCAGCCCGGCCTGTGCCCTTTCGCAGTCCGGGAGCCCTCGGGGGATGTCCGACTGATGGCTTAGGCCCATGGAGAGTGGGCCTAAGCTGTCAGTCAGACACCCTTGGCGCTGACTCGGAGGTGGGAGAGGCTCCCGCTACTGCCGCTATGCTCGCCAGCCATGAGCCCAGCTCAGGGTTTCTGGCTGAGCAGCGCTCCCCCTGTGAAAGTGCACTGACCAACAGGGGGCAGCACCTGCGTTGAGTGTCTGCCCCCTGGTGGTCAGTGCACATCATAGTGACTCATCGTTTCCTTGTTTAGTCAATTTGCATATTGGCCTTTTATTATATAGGATTCATTTTTTTACAGAGAGGAAGAGAGAGGGATAGAGAGTTAGAAACATCGACGAGAGAGAAACATCGATTCAGCTGCCTCCTGCACATCTCCCACTGGGGATGTGCCCGCAACCAAGGTACATGCCCTTGACCGGAATCGAACCTGGGACCCTTCAGTCTTCAGGCTGACGCTCTATCCACTGAGCCAAACCAGCCAGGGCTAATGAAATAGTTTTGGTGTGGTAAAATAAATATGAAATATTTAAGTTGTATTAATATTAAGATACATTAATTTAATTATTCAAATTAAGTTATTTATAATTATGTATTACTTTAATAATAAATTATTCCTCAAAGTAATATTGATATTAAAAGTAATGGATTGGCCGAAACCCATTTGGCTCAGTGGATAGAGCGTCGGCCTGCGGACTGAAGGGTCCCAGGTTCGATTCCGGTCAAGGGCATGTACCTGGGTTGCGGACACATCCCCAGTGGGAGATGTGCAGGAGGCAGCTGATCAATGTTTCTCTCTCATCGATGTTTCTAACTCTCTATCTCTCTCCCTTCCTCTCTGTAAAAAATCAATAAAATATATTTTAAAAAAATAAAATAAATAAAAGTAATGGATTGGTTTTGGACCTCAGGTGTCGACAATTGAGCCAATCATAATCCTCTGTTTATACCACTCCCAGCCTTATGGAGTTTATTTCTTTTATTCCTGATTTCCATAGCTCATTCCCCTCCTACTTCTCCTTACCAATTGGTACATATATCCTTGAAACTGTACATTTCATTGAAAAATGTAGTGCTGATTGTGTATGTTTTAACTAACACCTTAGAACTATGTGACCTTGGCCTTTACTCAGTGCTACTTTCAAGACCTATCCTGTTGCTCTCTGTGCAGTGTTTCAGTCAGGAGTGCCTTTGGTCATCAGTAATCCAAAGCTGACCTCATGGTGTGGTTGCTGCCCCTGACTGGCTGCTCCACACGAACCCAAAACTCCTTTCAGTGTTTCTTCTGAACCGCTGAGCTGGAAAGCTAAACCACTTCCCAGATTCCCCTGAGCGAGGAATCCGTGATTTAGGTTCTGCTCTTGTGCAAGGCATAAATTTAGAACAGCGCTAAATAGCACGGGACATCCGTTTTGCCGTCACAGATCACCACAGATGCACTGGCGCTCTGGTGAGCAGCTTCCTGATTCGTCAGCTTCCTGTAGTGGTGAGTGTTGTTTTCCTGATCGCAGACAGAGGTCATGTGCCTCTCAAAGCTGGGCGTTGCTCCTGGACCTGGAGCCTGCTTCTCCCTCCTTTCCTCTTTAAACGAGCCAGGTTTATTTCTGCAACTGAGCCCTGCCTGATACAAATGGCGTAAACAAATAAAGGTTTATTCTTCACACAAGATAAAAAATTCCTGGATAAGAGGCTTTTGGTGTTGATGTGACTTGGTGTCAGGGCCTTGTCTGGGAATCTCTTGACTTTTCCTCATGGTCACAAAATGGCTGCTGTACCTCTACCAATCCCAGTAAAATGCAGTGAATTCTCTGCAGCGTTTGGAAGAATCTACTAGATGATGTGTTAGTCATCACTGATGAAGTGCACAATCCCTATTTATAACCTCCCTTCTCTTTAGTCACCTTTTGGTTAAGTGTGACCATGTAACACAGTTGTGGCCAATGAAATGCAAGCAGATGGGCGGAGCTCCTGGAAACACTTTGCTGTCCTAATAAAAGGTGTGGGGCATACCTTTTTACCCCTCCCCCTTCTTCCTTCGGCATTGAATTCCATATGTGCATCCATCGCATTTTACTTATCTTCCTTTTAGTGATGGACACCTAGGTTGCCTCCAACTTCCTGCCTCTGCAAGTAATGCTGCAGTGAACATCCTTGTACATATCTAGTTGCAGGCCTGCAAGGGAGCATCTCTGAGATTGTGGGGTCATCGGGCACATACATGTTATTGACCAGGTACTGTCAGGTTGCTCTCTATTATGCACTCACTGCTGGTATGTGCACATAAAAGTCTCCCTACATCCTAGTCAACACTTGTAATTATTTGGCCTTCTAATTTTTGTCAATCTGATGGCACAGAACTACAAAGTGGTATTGCTATTTTACACTGGATTTTCCAGGTTATCAACCAGATGGGCATTCTCCACATACCTGATAGCCATTCTTATTTCCCCTCCTATGAATTGCCTGTTCATAGCCTATGTTTAATGTTCTATTGAATTTTCCTGTTTTTAAATTTTTATTTTTCAGGAATTCCTTTTAATATTCTAGATAATAATCCCATTATCAGGTTTAAATGTGGCAACAGTGCTATAAACCTTTCTGCTAGCTTTACCTGTGATGAACTTCATTGAAAGAAATCCTGAATTTTGATGTGGGTAAATTCATCAAAATTTCTCCTTATACTGTGTGCTTTTGGGTCTTGTTTTAAAAGAATTTCCCACGCTAGGATCCCAAAGCTCTCATTTCTTTTATTAATTTTACAGTTGTATTTTACTCTTTAGTCTTTAATCCATCTAGAATTTACTTTCATACACGGTGTGTGCAAGGGATCTGTTATGGGCTGAATTGTGTCCCCCAAAATTCACACATTGAAACCCTAGCCCCCCAATGTGACTGTATTTGGAGATAGGGCCCTTGTGAAGGTACTTAAAATTAAGTGAGGTCATATGGTGGGGCCCTAATACAATGGGACTGCTGTCATTTTAAGAAAAGGAAGAAACACCAGAGGGTGCACTCATTCTCTTCCCCCTCCCCCCATGTGAACATAGTGGAAAGACCATGTCATGACATAGTGAGAAGACAGCCATATACAAGCCAAGGAGAGGCCTCATCAGAAACCAACACTTTGGCACCTTGATCTTGGACTTCTAGCCTGAAGAACTGTGATAAAATAAATTTCTTTTGTTTAAGTCACAGTATGTGGTATTTTGTTACAGCAAAAGACTGGATTTCTTTTTAAAATATATATTTTATTGATATTTTTACG